TCGAGGTAATTTCATATTTTTTTTCCTTTACACAGCAGAAAAGAAAAATGATTGTTCTTCAGAAATGTTCATAAGTTTCTATCTTTTGTTCCTCAGGCTCTTCAAACCTTCTTTGGTTACGAACCATACCCAGGGTTTCATGCAATTGTTCAAGCAAAGATTGAGGCTGAAATCAATGAATGGCAAGAAAAGAAGATGAATTTGATTTCTTAGATTCTGCTTCCATTGACACTAGCATGCAGGGGATTTCTATGAGTAGAAAACACAAACGAACTCATGATGTACGCATTTTATGTGTCATCATACAAAATGTGACTCAAAGCACTTGAAGTGAATATGCGTAAGCTTGTAGCAAGGACTGGAAAGCAAATGGTAATAATCTCAATTTTCTAGCCGAAAGAAACTGTTTCTTGATTTTCATGGATTAAGCCCCAACAGGAGAATGCATTAACTAAATGGTGTGCCGTCTGTGGAATTTAATAGTCCAACTCTATATTTAACCAAGAAAGAAACGGAATGTTTGAGCAGTTAATCCCCAATCTGCTTAATGCAAAACATATTAGGGTATTCTTTTAGTTGTTTGTAAAACATTAGGATTTAGTAGCTTCATTTTCATATCATTTTCTTTCCTTTCACGCATTGATTTTTCCTTCGATTGATCTCTGATTTGCCTGAGTTGGAAGGACTGGCATGTTAAACAATTATTTTATGTTTCACATGCTCTTTTGGCTTTGAAATATATCAGTACATGGAGCTTGTCCTTTATAGACCATTATTGCAACAAATGTTCTCTATCTCTTCATAAGTTATACGGCAGTTTAATAATGCATTTGCTCTCAAAAAGGATAATAAACTACTGCCCTTGTCAGCAGGTTTGGTGGAGTTCACTTGCTAGGAGTCTAGGAGTACATATGCCATGTTTGATCTTTGGAACAAAATCCGAGTGTTAACTGTCTGAATTGAGTGCTTGTGAAATCAAAGTAGTTTTTGTGTATTATCATTTGGACAACATCTGATATGGTTAACTTTTGACCAGAAGTAAACTTTAGCCACCTCAAGGTTATCTGGCTATTTTGAGCTTCAAACCCTTCTCCATTAATAGAATAGTTATCATCCTGTACTTTACTGGATGATTTGGCACCAAACTGAATTTGAAAAATCGACACAAAATGGCCAATGCCATCTTCATTTGGAGATAGGCAGAATCCTTTCCGAGGCATTTTCTTGGTCCAGCCTGCGTGTCACCAGAAAACAATAACCAATGAGCCACTATGTTGCAGCCTAGAATTACAGCACTCTCTGATAGATTTGATGAATTCTATGTAAAGAAACTACAAGTTCTCACAGTATAAGTTCAATCTGCTATTTCCCAGCTGGGTGCATGAGGGTTTATCCAAAGATGAAGATCTTTTTCACTATACCTGAAATGCAGTGAACTTGAATGAAGACGCATTCCAGAAGTAACTCTCTTTGAGCCATCTCTCAGGCCTGAATGAAGCTACATCAGGGCCCCAATTATACTTCATCCGGCCCATTGAGTATGGAACATAAGTAAGCAAGCCTCCTGCTTTTACCTTGGTTCCATCTGGCAAGATATCATCCCCCAATATGCCCTTGGGGTCCCGTAATCATCCAACTATGTTTACTTGGTTATAAAACCAGAAACAAACAGATCATCTGTTTTCTTTTGGGCACAATTTTAAAGCCTGTTTCGGAGTTGAGATGGAAGAAGAACTACCCTAATTTAGAATAGATCATCATGGCACCATTAAAAGCCTTTACAACTTTTCTCGTTTACCCGAGGATCTGCTGGATATAAACGGAGTGTCTCCCTAGTAAATCATAATTTAACAGATCTGCAAATTGTGCTGCTCTTCGATTGAATGATTCAGGGTCTTCCAAGTTAAATGTTAGCAATGAAATCTTCTCCTCTCTTGCTTGTCTTTCTTCAAAAGCTTTTAGCTCTGAGTAAAGCTTTTCAGCTACATGAGCGTGGCTCATTATCATGTATTTAGCCCATGTCAGAGTTGTAGCTGTGGTGTCACGGCCAGCAATGGCAAAATTCAGGACAATATCTCTATGACTTTTTTCAGTTAAATTTCCTTCTGGATCTTCACTTAGCTCAATAAATCTTGAAAATATGTCATGCTTTATCTGATTTTTTCCATCATTTACAAAGTTGAATGAATAAAAATACTGGGAAAAAAAGGAAAGAAAAGAAACCTAGACGCAACCTTTTTATTAAAATATAAGTTCACCTTGGTAGTTTTGCAAGATTTCCGAGTTTCTTTTATCTCTTACTTTTGTTCTCCTTATGACATTGTATGTGAACTCATCAATGGATCTAATGCTTTTGCCAAGTATAGATTCGAGCCCACATTGAGAAATCTTTTCAGTTTCCACAGTGGGTCAATAAACCTAAGTGTCACAAATGATATTGGCTGTATCAAATGCCTGAGCAAAGTGGCTATCAGGTAAATTGGGAGCCAGAGTTCCAATTTCTACACCAAACCCCACCTTGCAAATGGAGTCTAAAGTCATCCTCATCAATTAAGTCCTGAGTCAAATTTTCAGCTTCATCAAAAGGTGTCATTTGTAAAGTATATGAAAAGAAAACCATGTCATTCCTTGTTCATACTTTCGGAGAATTCTCTAAAATTTTGACAAAAGCATTGTGGAAGTTACCTGCATATTTACTTCTTGGTTGTGGAAAGAAGCGTGACATAAAATAGAATGAAGCTTTAGACTATACTCCCTGAAGACAACAATGCTGAAATCCCTTAAATTCTTGGATGCAAACTCAAAGCTAGCGGTCTTCCTTTGCTTTTTCAATAGCTTACCATCTACATTGAAAATCCCATCTCCAAGCAGCCCTTCCATATAGGAATGATACGTTTCAACCTTTCAATTTATGAAAACAGGACATGGACATCAACTTTTATATCTATCTATTTACCAATATAGAGAGAATATTGCAGTCCAACAACCATGGAAAATGAATCATTTGTTGAATAATGGGAGCTTTCTACCTTGGGGTAATTGGCAAAATTGGTCTTCAGGACATGTTCAACATTAGCAGGATCGGCAATGTAAGTGTAAGCAGTGAATGGCATTGGAACTACCACGGTTTTTAATTTAGACAGGTATTTCACAAGCCACTCGTGCATTCGATCATAGTTCATTAATTGTTCGATCGCTGCTCCAATGAGTGGCCATGGTTTCGGTCCCTTTTTGTTCCTCTGATTCCATCTGTAGATGAAGATCCATGAAATAACCATGCAAGCTAGCATCACCATTCCCATGTTGCATCCATCTGGCAAAACAAAAACTGAGAAAAGATTGTTTTTTACTTCCATTTTAGATTAAAATTAATAGAAATTGAGTGTAATTTGTTGATGGAATTACTTGTGGAAATGCTGTTTTCTTTTAAGGAGTATAGCAAACAGGCGCCAGGGTTACTAAAATGTAGTGGGTTGTGAAGCTCATGAATTAGCTACTACTTTGTCAACATTCTTTGCATGCCATAGCTTTAAAATTATGTTTCACATCTTTTGCATCCTTAGTCTTAATCTAACCAAATTGATTGATTCTTCATTTTTAAATACTAGGAGTCTCATTTGATTGGGTAAATCCCGAGAACTTTAAGATATTTTCTAATCAAAGAAATTAAATGCGTTTGAAGATTCAAAACCAAGATGTCAACAGCATAAGAAGTATATGCTCGCTTTCCTATTACACCAATCTCATGAGGCTAAAATTAGAAGATTTTTATGTACGTCTAGCATTTGAGCATTTAGTTCCATGATAAATATTTATATCTGTGTTTTTTTAGTTCAAACAATGCGTTTGATTTAATCTTATAAAATTAAAAAAAATTATATTATAAATGATCATTTAATTATCGTAAAATATTTACTATGATTCTTAAACTTTAAAAAATTTCATATAAATTATAAATCTGTTAATTAATATAATACTTGAAAAATTATTTATTTATTACATATTATCATTTAAAATTAATTAAAAATAAATATTATATTAATTAATGAATTTATAATTTATATATCATATTAAAAATTTTTAAAATTTAATTATCACATTAAACATTAAAAAAAATAAATTCAAACGAGGATAGCAATGCAAATGCAATAAATATGTTATTTTTAAGATTCAAGAGAAGGTTAAACCTCATCTTACCTAATTGGGCATTAGAGGGCGTCCGTAAATCCCAACTCTGCTTTCTAACCGCCCTTTGCTTTTTCAAGTCCGAACCTTCTCCCTCCATCAACCTCTTTATAGCCCGTATCCATTAACCTCGAAACACGTTAACAAAATGCTAGTCCTACAAAAACGACTCATTCAAAAAATCCAGCAGCGGATTAAGCTTGTTCCAACAGAATTCTTTTAGTTTCCAGGTGCCACAGTGTGATGACCGCAGAATCTAAAGTCTTTGGAAATATCAGCATCATGTGCGACGACAAAATTAGCCACGTGCATGCAGCAATTCTAGACGCATCATCCACAAGATTGCTTTCCGCAAGGTCCTTTTGACCATCCCCACCAACTTTCTAAATCGTAGTATATGTTTTCTATTGGATAAGTGATGCACAGCTAGCCAGGCGGCAGCCAGCCAGAGAAAGTCTGCCAATAGGTTCAGAGAATGGCTATGCCACGTCTTTCAAATTTTGTCGTCTGGCGTCTATGACACAAATATCAAAGTTTTTATGTTGAAAAATATCTTCTTTGATCTCATTATCATCTATGCCATAATCGTCTGATTTGCATGTTTGACAGTCTTAGATTTTGATCAGAATATTCATTAATATTCATTCAATACAAATAGAATTGGCTTTCAATATGGTCGTGATCATATTTTCTTTTTCAAAAGTTAATGGGACAAATTAATCATCTTAAATATAAAAACTATCAGCACACAGTTTTTACAAGTTTTTTTTAATGGATAAGGCTGCTGCATTTTTTTGTGTCTAGCCAATCCAATATTTTGGTTAAGTTGAAAACAATCAAATGCACATCTATTACTGAAACTGATACACTATGGGATTCATATGTTGTTGCTGGTTTAGAATCCCCCACTGATTCATCACTTGAAACTTCCCTGAATCAGTGTATTGGTAAGGTATTTCTCCTAGCTGAAGTTTCTCGACATGTTCAATCCCGGTATTGCCTATGGTGTTAGGGAAATCAAAGCTTGAATTGTATGGATTTTCACTCAAAAGTTGGGAAATTGGCCCCGTGTAATTATCCAATTCCAATAGATGAGACAGTGAACATGTCCTTGGGAATTTCAACATTTGTTGGCTTTCACTAGCATCATTTGAGTACTCTATCATGTCAATTGGGGTATTAGATTCTTCCACGTTTTGATGCAAAACTTTCACAGCTGAGTGCTTCTTTTTGTAGATTCTGCACAGGACCCAATCATCCAGCTGAAAACACACAAAAACAAGCCATCTGGTCAGTTCACACAACAATACATATGATCAAAACAATTCTTCAAATCATGTCGAAGAAACAAAAGAAAACATACTCTCATGGATCCATTTTGCCTGGTGATTTGTTTTCGCGAGTCACTTAACCGATATTCATGCATAATCCAATCAGTCTTGATTCCCTTTGGTGGCCTGCCCTCATAAAAAACAAGAGCTTTCTTCACCCCAACGTTTTTAAAGCCACTATATATGGCTTTGTCTGTCCCGGTAGCCTTCCAGTACCCAGAGACTGTTGCCCTATTAGGACGAACCCCATTAGGATACTTCCTGTCTCGAGGGCTGAAGAAGTACCATTCACTTTCACCAAATTCTGCTTTGTCTAACAAAATCATGAATCAAACAAGGAAACAGCAAACAAGTCAGCATAGCATTTTATACATAGGAGAACATAAGTAATCTTTTGTCTGACAATAAATAAACTAACCAGGCAATTGCCATGGATCAAATTTGTATATATCAACTTCTGAGATTATTGAAACAGGGCATGGCCTTGATTTGGCCTGGTTTTTGAGGTAATACACGATCAGTTCTTCATCTGTGGGGTGGAACCTGAAACCAGGAGGAAGCTCAAAGGTGGTTTTCCTTTCCATCCTATTCCTTCTCGTCCAAACAAGGATAGGGAAGGGAGGGAGGGCAGAGGAAAAGGAAGGTGTTTGAAATGTTTGCAAGGCGAGGGCTAGGCCTTTTATCTTTGGATTTGTCTTGTTGTCGTGGGCCAAAACCAAGTCTTATTGGCTGAGGACTTGACTTTTTCAGTCTTAAAACATCAACCTCGTATCACAATCAACTGCCACACTCGCGGGAACGTGGCCAGCACGTTCCACTCTCCGTATTCCTTCAATTGACTTCTTGAGCTTGGTTCTTTGAACTTGTACCTCCCAGAAAAAAAAAAAAAAAAAGACTTTTATTCTCTTGGGGTATCTAAATTGGAAAGAGATTTTTTATAATTTTATTAATGATTATGTTAAGGATTTTTTTATAATTATTAAATAATTTATTCAATGATATTATTATCAACTATCTTATTTAATATTATAAATTACGTCAAAATTGGGTCATGAAATCAAATTTATATTCTAAATAGTAGTGTTTAATTAACAATTAAAAAAAATACTCTTTGAACACTCATTAATAAGAAATTATTTCTTTTTTCTTTTTTCTTTTTCTGTTTTTAGTCTCTATCTTTCATGTGACCCTGCCAAAAAGAGAAAGGTCTCCTTCAAGCACAATAATCAATATATTATATGGAATAATTAAAAAAAATTGACAAAAAATGTTAGGTATATGATATGACTGGTTAAACAAACTTTTTCTACCACAAGTGCACCATAATTTCTTAAAATAAATTTTAAGTTTTTATTATATTTTTATTATTATTTAAATTTGTAAAAAAAAAATATTTGATGAATTTATTATCCATCCAAACACTATGATTATTTTAATTTGAATATTTAGATAAAGAAAGAAAATGTAAACTTATGAGATTAATTTTGGATTTAGTAATATTAGGAGATATTTATTAAAGAAATGAAATGGGATAGAATTCAAGTTATAAAATACAAAAACTTAAAAGTAGATTCGATCATTCGTATATTTATTCATATAAAATATTAATAATTTATATATTTTTATTATATTTTATTAAAAATATATATATTATAATTTAAATTGATATAAAAATTTGAAATATATTTTTTAATTTTATTATAATTTTTATTAAAATTTTAAATTATATTATTTTTATATCTATGATTTGTATATTATACCATCGTATTTTTAGTCATTGCTTAAAAGCAAAGCAAGTTTTTATCTCACAAAAAGGCCAAAGCAAGTATAATTTCTTTATTTACTCGAGCGAATGGAGTTTAGCCAAGAACATAAAAACACTTGGTGAATGAGTCATCGAAAGGTTCTATAACAGAACTTACCAAAGCTACACGTGTCCCTTGCCTAGCCAAAAGTAGTTGACTACGGATAAGCATGTAGAATTCTTAGAGGAAACGTAGGCCAAAAAACCATACATATATATAATTTAATTAACTTGTGGATCTTATCTTAGTCACGTCATTAATGGCCCTAATTTGACTCTAATTTTTTTAAAGATGATACTTATTTTTAATTTAAAATTTAGGCAGCAAAATTATCTCATTTTTAAAATAAAAATATAATAAAATTTTAAAATTTATATTAAAAAATTATTAATAATGAAAATCGAATTTAAATTTATAAACAAAATCGTGCTTTACCAAATCAGTCGACTTTGGCTTACGTATCAAGCCCTTTTTCTGATTATAATAATTAATTTGTAAGGTGAATTTAATGTCACGTGGTGAATTCTTTATCCTTCAGTTTTAAATATGAAATCATACGTGGCAAGTTGACTTTCATCCTGTATGAGAACTTGGAGGAATATTCTATGTTTCTCGGCCGTTGATTGGGGAGTTGAAGTTTTCTTGGTTAGCTCTTAGGCATTATAGCATGCTGCATGCGTTGCAGTTGGATTGTTTTTGGCCTTTGCTTATTTTGTCTTTATCAATGTGGATAATTTAGAATAATCTTTGGAGAACCCTTTTTTTTATTTTTTTAAATAATAATTATTATTAAATATATGAGAGATAAGAATGAAAATTCGAATCTTGAATTGTATTATTTTAATAGAATGCATGGGTTACCTATAGAAAAGTTAAAAAAAAAAAAAAATTACAACCGTGGGCGATCGATAACGTTATTTTGTTATTATTTTACATTATATTTGGATATATTTAAAATATAAAATTATAATAAATAAAATATAATAATATTATGAATAAAATTAAATGATAAATATTTTTAAAAAAATTTATGAAGTAGGGGTTTCTCCTTTTTAAATTGGGAAGCTGAAATGGTTTTTGTCGAGCATTATTTTCACTCATGGGTTTTTGGATGCATCCTTAATTTTTATGCAGTAGATTTTGTTACCGGCTTGAATTTCAATCATGGTGTTCTATACTATTAATATTTATGTTATTTTATATTATTATTGACTGCCATTTTTACACGTGGATTACTTTATGGTGATTTGATTTGGCAAATTCATTTTCGTATGGTCAGTGCTGTTATTTATCCTTGTTTATGAAAGATTGTAACTTCATATTTGACAGAAAAATGATGAGAAGGCAGACACAAATGCTAAGCCTGGAAAGGAGGCTGAGAAGGATGAAGCAGGGGAATCCACCAAAGAGGTTGATAGTTAAGTACCCAAATAACAAAATTAAAGTTTTCTATTCCTCACTAGTCCGTAGTTTATTGCAACAAGATTTGTCAGTAACATCAACCTTGAGGATTGTTGATCATGGCAACATCAAGGCAGTAATGCAAGTTATGTGAGTAAAAAGATGAAAATAAGGAACCAAAAAGGTAGAACTGTTGAAAGCAGAAAAATGAAAAAGAATTATTTTCCGGTAGCTATTTAGCTAATAGCTTTGATCGTTAATGCCAAGCTCAAGAAGAGTCCTCATTGCTTGTTTTTTGACCACTTTGCCATAAATCCCTCTTCCCACTTTCATTGCTCTCTCAAATTCTACCACACCAACGCCACCATTCTGCTTCAAGCGTTCCACAACAACCTTCAATACTCTCTCATCACTTCCCACAACTTCAACCACACTGTCTACGACAGCCTCCATTGCCGGAATCCGCCTGCCCCATCGTTTCATCAACCTATCTGAACCATATACCTCAGAATATGCAGTCCAAAACGACGCCCTCAAATAGCCCTTATCTTTTCCCCTCATCGCCCATCTCCTCATACCTTCCTCCAACCTATAAACTGCACCACCTACATCTACCCCTTTTTCAAGGCCTATCTCAATCTCTCTTAACTCTTGCTTGGAACACACTGCCTCTTCAAACTTGCATCTCCTACATTTGCAGTTAAAACCCCATGATTTCGACATTTCCTCACGCTTGTCCAACGGAGAAAATGTATCAAAGTATATGAACGTGATCTCTTCTCCAGCCTTGATATCTCTAGAGGCATGAACTATGACATAGTCGCCTACATGCAAACGCCTTGCATTAGGAATACATGAATGGTTGATGAAGGAAGCCAGTATCCATAACCCAACACCATAAAAATCACTGTTTTTCCCCAATACTTTAGCTGAAACCGCCTCTTCCACAAGAGAATTCACATCCAATATGCTCAACATTTTATCCATATCAAGCTTCTCCCTTGAACAGCCATTTTTCTCAATCTCAGGCCTAAAGAAATTCATATCAGGAACTTCAAGCCCTTCTTCATTGTCACCTGCGGATAGCATGTCAATCAAAAGCTGTGTTCTTTGACATTTTGTGACAGTTTCCGTAACTTTATCGATAAAATTCTTCCACATAACAAGCTGTGCATTTTCTCCTGTATCTTGACCTCCCAATATGCCTCTTTCAATTGCAATTGCCTTAGTGACCAAAACCAAAGTTCCAGCATCAATATTCTTTGTTGCAAACAAGCCACGCCCACTAATCTCAGACCTCTTAACCTGCACTGGACCAATATATTCAGCAAGTTCTGGAGGCTTTCCTCGAAACCCATTAAGAACCCAATCAGAAAGATCAAAACTTCCTGTCCTTGATTGAAACTCAAATTTTTTACATTTCTCTAAATACCCATTAAGAATCTCGAGGTTCCCATTACCCTGAGGATCAAAAAGAGCTGCTTTGAAGCAGTCCAAAGCATTGGAATATCTGTTCAAACTAAGCAAGATCTTACCTTTGCAAAGTAAAGTCTTGAAATGGGTAGCTTCAATTTGAAGTGCTTGGTCACAGTCTTTAAGTGCTTCAGTGAAATCTTGTAGCCTTGACTGTGCCTCAGCTCGATTTGAGAAGGCTACACAGAGAGATTTGTGGAGCTTAGAGAGGTGATATGGGTTTGGGTTGGAATCTTGTTGGGTCTTTGAAATTTGGTCTTGGCAAAGATCGATTAACTGAGAGTAAAGTTGTATAGATTCTTTCCATTCTTCTCTGAGGAGAAGCTCTGTGGCTTTTGATCTGAGCAGCTGCATTTGCTCTTCAGCGGGGTACATTTCTGACTCTTGTTGCAGCCCTTCTTCTCTCATTTGGTTTTTAGGGTTCTCTTTTTTTTCTTTTTCTTTGATTGGTAGTGCATTTTCTGGTCGTCGGTTTTAAATTTGGGAGGGGGGGGGGGGGGTGGGTGTTACGTAACGGTCATTTTGGTCCTTTTGTCTTTGGTCTGGTCTCTTATCCTCTATTTTGAACTTTTTTTTTTACAATGGATCTTGTTTGATAACAGCAACGGCTATTTCAGGATCAATTAACTTAATGACTGCTGAGCTGAACAACCTGGCTTCCTATGATTTATTTAGCTCATCAAGCTAGGACTGATTTGTGAGTCTGAGATAAACCAAGCAAGTTGACGGTGCATATAAGCCTTACGGTTCAGTCGCAATGAGGTTCTTCCGTGCTCAAAGCGTGCCACACCATTCAGAAGAAAGTATCAATGCGCTTAAGGAACCGCTGTTGGTCACAAGATCTGAATATACCGACTATTTACATTACAAAAAATTTGCTTCCATTGGGAGTCAATGAACTAATAAAGGGATATGTTGATAATAAACATTAGCCTCTCAGCCTCAATCCTTCCTCTTAAACACAGTAGTTTGTAGCCCCCAAACAAGGTTCCAACCTTGAGAACACCATTCAGACTATCATCCGTATAGAGATATGGCCAATCTCTTGCAAACAACCCAAAATTACTTCCTGCTTTTCTTCAGAAATCTTGTCAGAACTCGGAAATACGGTGATTACAGAACAGGACGAGCTTGAAGAGTTTTAAATGATAAGAAGATGCCCTTGTCTCACATATCTCCTTAAAAAGATAACTCAAGTCATGAATGCAGATGACTCTGCAAATTGTAGCAATCTTTTCCTGTTCACAATCAACAGGAAAGTATGATAGCCCTAGCATTTTTTTAATATAAAGTATAAACATTGAACAAAGATACAAATCAAAAAAGCATCTCATTACATATGCAATATCTAATACAATTCAGACGGGGGGCACTCTTCAACTTTCTAAGATTAACCTCACCGGTGTTGCTTGTTAAATGCTTTATAGTTGATGGCCAATGACTATATCTGCTAATTACTTCTTCAAAAAGTACATTCCATCTCTGAGCTCTAATTTCTCTTCAGAAACTAGACCTGATAAGAAGCTTTGCAGCTGTTGGAGTGATTTATCATAAGGAGGGTCGGCTACACAGAACATCTAAAAGCAACATGTTGTCTTAGGTTAGCAATTACTTGTACTCAATTTAAAACTGTGGGGCATCTCAAAACCATCTTACCTTAAGAGTATTATGAATTCGATCTAATGCCATGCTACCAAAATTTGTAAGCATACCCATGATGAATTTCTACAATGACCCAAATTCTGGTTAGAGTGCATCAGTAAGCAAAATGACAAGTGAACAGCTATTCACACGCATGACATACCTCGTACACAGTCATTTCCTTACGTAGTTGGTCCTCTACAGAAGCAACAGACCTCTCCACTTCCTCATCACCAGCTAGAAGCTCCTCACAATTTACAGTATTAGCATTGTTCTTACTATTATCAACCATGCCTTCCACTAGGGTAAATACATGGTCACCAGGATCTGTTCCTAGTGATTCAGTGAGAACTCCCTGGGTAATGAGGATAACAATTTTGTAAATGAATTTCTATAATATCCAATGATTCTCATTTTGATTACCAAACCATACCAAATTAGACCTACTTGAAACTTTTAGCTTCTACTTGCAAAGAAAAATAACAAGAGATATGTACTGACAATGAATCAAAACAATGCAGAATATGTACTTGAACTTCAGAACAAATAACTAAAAACCTTGCAACTGAGAGAAGGAAGATTTGCATCAACTTCTCAATAATGTAGCAAACCACAACTACAGAGGGAAATTTATAACTATAACCTATACCTTGAGTGGCAAAGACATTTTTGCTTTACAATAGAATAATGCATTGAAGATCAGGGGGCTGCATCAAGCTATTAAGTGGCAAAAGACAATTTCAAAATTTTGAACAGGGACTATTATTTGATATGGAAGACAACATAAGTTAAACATACCTTACTTATCCAAAAGCTTATCCTTCGATTCAGCACATCAACAGGGATCCCAGTAGCAGCAGCAAGATTCTTAGAGGTCCAACTGAAAGCAGATAAAAATTATACCATCATTATATGAACAGTAAGATGCAAAGTGTTCAAACAATTTCTGAACGCTTGAACAACCTTGTTTGGTCTTGAAATTGTATTATTATTGCTGCATGTATAGGTGCAACTGTAAATTGCATTGCCTTATCCTCAAATTGCAATTCCAACTAAAACAGTTTCCATGTTAAGAGCATAACTGTTAGTTATGTGATAAAAAAAGGAGGAAAAGCAAATGGGATAATACAATAAGAATAATTGATACGAAGAAAAGAGCATTCAAATATATACATAAATTACACTTTAAAAGACCTAACCTTGACTGTTCCAAGATTTTTCTTCCACAGTAGCTTTCGAGGAGTCTTGATTTCATGAAACCTTCTTGCATAATCAGAGAGCAGCTGGTCAACAGGTTCAGGAATGATAAGGGCCTCATCCTGAAAATTTCCCAACATTAATGAAAGAGTGACAAGATAATGAGAAACACTAAACTATTTTAGCAAAAATGTATATCAATCAGTAACAAAAGCATGGCAACAAGGACGTTACAATTTTGTTGGACACCAACCATTTTCTAAATCTGCTTTGCCTTCTTTGAACAAACACTGTCCTGAACAAATTTCTCTTGTACATTTTTATACATTGACTCATTAAATTATTTCCCATTTCAGGCATCTTGTCAAGTAATGAACTCTTCATAGGTATGATCAATAAGAAAATGAAAGTTGAAATGAAAACTAAAAGAGAAAATGATTAGTTACATGTTAAGAAAAAGAATAAAGTTATTAAATTCTCGCATCAGAAAATTTCTTTTGGTATAGTTGATTCCCTAATTATCAATATATTAGCTCCTCCTCTGATCAAATAATTTGTTCACCTAACCAACTCTTTGGCTTTGACAAATAATAGACTTAAAGCCGAAAGGTAAAAAAAGAATAGCTAACCTTTTCCTACCATCAATAACAATGAACAAAGTAAATTTTAATAAGTCAAAGCAAAAAAAGAACTGATATCAGTGAAGCCCATGCCTGGATTGGAGGCCAGAAATTCGAAGATATGATTGTAGCATCAAGATTATCCAAAGAAATCCCAGTCTCTGCTGACTCTGCATCTTAGTGTTTCAAAAGAATTTAAACAGATTAGGTTAGAAGAAGATAGAATAGCTAAGGTAGTTCCTCAAGCTATCCACATCTAGAAGTTCTACAAAGCCAGGGAATACCTATTTGAGATGTCTTATTAATGGTTGCCTTAATGTTGGTATTTGTCCTCTTGGAATCAATCAAATCATTAAGCATAATTTCACACTTCTGCATGCTACTTTCCCCAAAATGTATCTGGAAAATGAGAACATGCAAAAAAAGGGAGTAAATTTTGGAGACATTTGAGGAAAACAAACGGAATGAATACAATAACAAAATAAAGGCAACTCACTTTGAGGAGTTCTAGAGTACGTATCTCTGAGTCAATGTCATAATCAGATTTGTTCAGAAGTTTTTCAGCAAGCATAACACGATATTCATTGACAAGTTGGTCTTTTGAACCAATTATGCCAACAATCATTCCAAGTATGTCAACCTTCCGTCTATTTCGGCTACCTTTTGATGGGTCTGCCTCAACAGGGTCGGGCTCCCAGCTGAACAAGAAAGAACTCACAGGGACACAGGTTAGCAATATGGCAATTTTTACCGCATAGCTTATTTACATGGAAATTACTGTTGTAAAAAAAGTGATAGCAGTATAATACCGTTGTGCATCAATCCATGCTTGCTTGTCATCTGTGTTAAAATCATCATCAACTCCAATATTTTCTTGATTTTCTTCATCTCTATTTAATTCCTCAAGAAGGCTATCCCCACTGTTTCCAGATCCATTTGGATTACCACTAGTGCCATCTGTCAGCATGGTCACAATGCACTTTATGGTATCTTTTCTTCCCCTCAAGTAGTCCCTTATTGGCTCACCAACAGCTTCAAGAAAAACACCAGCTGGATCTATCGTCCGGAGTGCTTTGATAGTTGAAACATATTGATGTAATATGTCATTGGTTGAGGCACCCGCTGTAAGTAAGCGGTATCTTAGTGCAGAGATAAAGGATTCAACCAGCTTAGAATGCTGTCCAGTATATTCAAGACACTGTTTTAAGTCTTCAATCGCAAGAGAGCTGTAGCAGTCGCCAATAATTTAAATAGTGAGGCAATTTCCAGGATTACTTTCTATTAGCACCAACAACTTCCATTCACACAATGAACAGAAAAGACAACAGCAATACCATAGATAACTCCATCTGTCTTCTTCTTTTGGACCAAAGTCAGAAGGAGCAGAAGGGGTGGGGGAGATAACCCCTCTAGTAGGCAAATTCTTTTCAGAATCTCACAAATTAAAGCAGCAAACCTGTTTTTTTCTTTTGTACATAAGGATTTTGAGCTACATAATGGGAGGTAACCCTCTATGTCCTATAAATCCCACCCAGCCACCAGCCCTCAAAACTGTAACTTTCTTGGAAAGAGAATTTATTCAAATTCACCAAGTTTCATCTAGAATGAAAAACAAAAAAATGCACGTATTGAACTGGAGCAACAATGAAAAAATAATTACCTCTCAGGATAGTCCACAATTATCTCAAATAGTTTGGCTATCCTTAAATCTTGTAATGTTTCATAAGCAAAATACTCTAGCCGCAATTTCCATCTAATGAGTCCTTCTGATGGAGTATTTGTTCCAGAATAGCATGAAGATGGTTGTGAAGCCAGAGGTGACTTGAGACCAGATGAATGCTGGTCAAAACTAATAGAATCCCCAAGATAGGCAAGCAATGCATTCAAGAACTGAAGAGGTACAGCCTGTGAAATATTCCTCCAAATGTAAGAAATCTCAGTAACTTAACCATAGGAGAACTAATAGCAAGTTAATAAAACTTGAAATAAATGAAACCTGGAAAAAACGATATGTTTATATTTGACCAAAATTACCAGAAAAATTAAAAAGTCATCCATGATTCTTCAGTTCTTTTAAATAAAATGGGAAAAATGTAAAGGATTCACAAATGCAAAAAACAACCTCTATCCACCCCTTAATGGAATCCAAAACAGAACTTCGGTAATCGTCACCAGCCAAATTATGTACTTTAGCCTGTATGCAATCAAAGAAAGCATACCATTTATAAGATGTAAATTTAATAAGCTTGAAACATGACAAGTAACATAAGCCAGAGATAACCTACCATTTTCTAAGGAAGAATAATTAAATAAAAAAAAAAAAATCAGATAAAACATTGTATACCCAAAGATCAGATTATTATGTTGAGTTTTCGGTTAAATAACAAGTCCACCTTTAGAAGTAAGAAGATAGCAGAAGCATAAGCATCTTCGGTCATGGATGTGAAACCAAGGTTTCTAAGATCCCGAACAACCTTCCCTATGTTCCTCACCAACCTATTGGTCTCTGAAAACTTGTCTTGAGAATAACACTCATCAATATCCATTTCGCCAGTTCCGTACTTACTCTTTTCATCCAAATCCATCTCATCTCTACCTCCGCACTCATTTTCTTCATTAAATTCTCCACCCATTATTGTACTTAACTCCTCCAGCCTTCCCTTAAAATACCAGTGGAGTACCTCTAACAACATCAATAAAATTATTAGCTAATACGAAAAAAACCAGTCATGCATAACAAAATAACTGACTTTTACTCTAAAAAATATGTAGTTTTATACCTGGAAAATGACGAGGAAGATTGGCCATAAGAATGGAGGAAACAATTAATTGATACTTTGAAAAAAGATAGACCTTTTCTGAATCAAAATTGTGCTTTCCATCAGATAAATTCTCCATATAAGATTGTAAAGCATGAACCAATATTAACAAGCATTTCTCTTGATTTTCTTTTACTAAACATAATTCTTCCAAAGCTTTACAAAGCACTCTTTGAATCTCATCCTCATCAATCTTCTCTAAATCTTCTTCAATTTTACTATAATCCTCAAAATGGAGCCAAAATCTTGACGCTCCGTTGTTCTCAAAAGCTTCCTATTAATTCAAAAGAAAAAGAGAAAGAAATTAAGAAAATTGATATTGAAAGAGTATTCAATGGCTTAATTGATTATTACCTCAAGTGATCTAAGGAAGTAGTCTCGAACGAGAGAGTGGAGGCCGTGTTTGCAGAGAGTGTGAACGTGTGAGACGAAGTCGTGTCGGACGGAGAGATCGACGGAGCCATGGAGGAGAGATTTAGCGGCGGCGCAGAAACCGTCGTAGCTTTGGAGGATTTCTTGGACTGTATCGTCGTCGAGACTCATAAAAATCCCTAAATTGCAAACTGGAGAAGAAGTTAATGACTCCATTGACGATAAACAAAGAGAAAAAAAAAAATCCAAACTTTATCCTTTCTTTGAAAAACCCTAGCTACTGCTTCAGCTTAGAAGTGGAGTTTCCATTTTTAGGACTATTTTCTTTGCCGCCACTGCCATGAATGATGAAACGCTTTGCTCCAATTAAAACGACATCTCATTTGTCGTTTGTATATCTCAAAAACGAATCTTTTTTTTTTTCACTTTTATTATTAGTGAAGGCAAGTATCCATGGACCAGATGAAACCCGAACCCGGATCAAGAACTTGCTGACGTCACTCTCGGCTATGGTGGCGGAGACTTCCACCTAGACTTAACCAAGACAAGGCTCCAGCTCCACGGCGAGTCTCAATCCCTCTCTTCCCGCTCCTCCACGCCCTGCCCCACCAACGCGTTCCAAAGCGCTCCTGAAATTATCCGTGAACAAGGCGTTTTGGAGCTGCATAAAGCCCTTCCTCCGGATATTCTTAGGTATATAGTCAAACACTCTTTGATTTAATTGGGATATTAATTTTCTTAAAATTCATCAAAAAACTTCGCTCCTTTTACATCAATAAAGCAGGGCTTCTCTCTTTATCCCCATTTATTTATTTCCTTCATTCAATTTCTTCTTAAATATTAGTTGTAGTGGCCTGACATTGCCTTCTTAATCAAGGAGGCCTTAGTCCTCAGGGTAGATATAATAATATTAAATACGGTAATGATAATGATATAAAAATAATATTATTTAAAATTTTAATAAAAATTATAAATTTATATTTTATATTTTTATATTAATATAAATTATGATACATAAATTTTATATATAAAATATGATATAAATATATAAATTATTAATATTTTATATTATATAGATACATAAATTATTAGATTTAATTGAGGACAATGCTAAATGGGTTTTTCTTTCACGAGCCTATTGACTCTCTTGTTACTAAATGTGTCCATCTGATAGTCTATCCAAGTTTGAAAGGAAGGCCTGGAACCCAGACAAAAACCATGAGATTTGAGCCCAATTTGGGCTTTGGGTGATTTTGGTATTTGGACAATCTGTCCTAGGTTTTGACAACCCAAGATTAACCCACAAGTGTCTTCGGATTTCACACGATTGTTATAAGTGGAATACCAAACATTAGTATTATTATTATTGTTATTGTATAAAAGAGGCTGTGGAGGATAGGAGATGGGGAATTACAAGTATTGGAGATTGAACTTCAAGTATTATAGGAATCTATTTTTTAAAAAAGATTAATGAGAAGACAATTGTTCCTAAACTAAATTATACGCTTTATTTATTATATCTTGTGAATTTTCAGTGTTTTCCATTGTTTGATGAAAGGAAAAAAAAAAAGTTGAATGAAAAAACCTGAGTGAGGACCCTGTTTGTTACTACTAATAGTTAAAACATTTTTCCAAAAAAAAAAATTGACAATGAAAGATCTTGCTCGAATTCATTGTACTTGAACCCCACAGCAATAAAGAAAAAGGTGAAATAATAAAAGGAAAAGGACTTGGCAAAAAAAAAACTCATGTGATTGTGTCAAAGATTATAACTTGATTTGAATAGAGATAAAATTAATTTTGATTAAATTAAAAATAAGAATAATTATTAAAATTTAATAAAAAAGTTTTATTAAAATTAATATTTAAATTTAATTATATCACATTAAAAAACGATTGAATCCAAATAAGCGTCACCTAAATATAGATATCCGCTCACTGTTTAAAAGCTCTGTTACTAACTTATTAACCTTTGGGTAGAGGCGGAACCATGCACGCTTTCATTCAATCGGCCGGCCACCAAGAAAGCAGGAAAAATTTCGATCCGGTCGTTCAAAATCACTTGTGTTAAGCATCGGACATTGCCCTTTTCAATGCTTACAAACCAGTGCCTAAAAGTCACAAAAGGTGACTGTCACCCTGCAAGGCTGCAACTGCTGGTAAAACCTTTTTCATTTTTCCTCACACCAGACAACATATATTTTACATTTATAACAGCACCACCACCTTGCAAGTTCCAACATTTCAGGCACCCATAAAAATAAAATTGTGGTGACTGAATGGCGCATTTAATTTGCCAAGCCATTGTAAAAGGGGTGAACAAAAACGGAGCCCCAAGTTGCCAGTGGTCATGACAGAATCTAGAGGTGAAAAAAAAAATTAAGAAGATCAAATTAATCTGAACTATAGTGTTTGATTTGATTTTGATCAATATTTTCATTTAATTTGTATCAAGATCATATATTAAATGTATATATTATATTTAAATCGAATTTCGAATTAAGATATAAAAAATTGAAAGAAGTTGAATCGAATTTATTTATATATTTTTATTAATTTATATGTATTTTAAAATTTTATAAAATAAAAGTAATTATTTTACATATAAATTTATTTAAATATATTTAAAATATTATTAAAATAATATATAAAAAATAAAAAATTAAATTTGAAATATCGATTAAATAAGTAAAATTTGATTCGTATCATATTAATTTTTAAAAAAATTATTTTAATTTAAATCAAATTTTAAAAATTTATAATATTATGTGTTATTCAAAAAAAATCAAATCAATTTTGATCCGAATATTATTTCTTTTAACAAAATTTTATTTTTAATTAATTATTTTTACATTGAAAAAAACAATATTCAATTATAATAACTATAATATTTTAATTCGATTTCAATGTGAATAAATTTTTTTAATTAGATATGATTTGAATCAAAATTAAATCAAATATAATAATATCTAATCAAAACCAAACTAGCATGTAAACTAGTACTTAGTTGAAGTATTTTGTATGCAGTGAAGCAGAGGGAAGATCTGAGACTAAATGAAAATGGGACATTGGCCAATAAATTTAGCTACCGAGAGAACTAAATTCGACTGGAAGAGATGAAGTATAGTCAGCCCGACTATCCTTATCGAACTGGACCAATTCTTAAATGGGGTTTTAGTGGTTATAAAATTGGGTCCGCACGTCAAGGTATAAATAATTATATTTTTTTTCTTAAATATTGGATAAAATTTATATGAAAATTTTAGATGAAATTTATAAAATTATTTTTAATTGATTTAATAAAAATTTTAATAAAATTTTCAAATCAATAAATGATGAAATTTAATGTGAAAATTAATAATATATAAAATACATATTAAAAATTATATTTATAATTTAAATTTGATCGGTACTAATTTAATGATAAAAATGTTATCAATATTTTTATTAATAATATTTATCTAAAAATTATATCTAAATTTATTAAAAAAATTTTAAATTTTAGACTCTTTATCTATATATATACTGAAACTTTTTAATTTATCATTTTAATATTCTATTTTAATTTTTTAATCTTTCATAATTGAAAATTTAATGAATTTCACTTAAAAATTTTATCTAAATCTTTCCAAACACTTACTTCCATTTCTCTCTCTCTCTCTCTCTCTCTCTCTATATATATATATATATATATGTCATATCTCTAGTTTGTTTTCAAACCTTTGATTTAATGATTAAAGGCGTTTGAAATGACATTAAGATATTGATTTCGAGCTAGACCTCTCATTTCCCCTTTACTTGTACTAAAATTTTATCCTCGTGATGTAACAAAAAAAAAGTAAATACGATTATTCAAATTTATTGGTAGAGACCATTAATAATAAAAAAAGTAAATATGATTATTTAAATTTGTCGATTAATAATAATAATGTACATTCATATGTGCAACCCTACATCTGCTTTTTTTTTTTTTTCAGAACTTCTTCAAAATACCTATGTTTTGTATTTTTGTATTTCTTTTTATCAGAATTAATTAATTATTTGATTTGTTGATAAATATTAAAATTTTAATTTTAACAATCAAATTTCAATTTCTATCATATTTAAGTACTAAATAAATTATAATCAAATGTTCAATCTATATTTAAAATTTTACTTCTTTAGTCTCATTTTATTTATCTATGGTTCATTTTGAAATATTTCAAAATTACACATATATTTTGAATATTTAAAAATTTATATTTTAAGATTATATTTTAATATTTTTTTATTTTTTAACATTAAAAATCATAAAATTTTAATTTTATAAAAAATTAAAATTTAATATTAAATACTTTAAATTTAAAATTTTTTAAAAATTTCATAAAAATCAATAACTCAAATAATTTGAAACGTAAAGGGTAAAATATGTGTATAATTTATAAAATACTTAAACTTTATTTTTGTTAACCATATTGCACTATTCAATTACCTAAAGTTTCCTTCTTCATCAGTGAAAAACATGTTGGTAGAAGTGCAATAACATTGTTGTAATCAATCATAACCTAGCTATGGTAATTTTGGATACATTCGATGAAGCAAATCTTCCAACAGTCAAACTCGACACCTCTACGTCTTGTTGTCCACAACAATCAAATCATGTTGCTATTTAAATTCTTGGCGTCCGAACTGCTGCTTCGACTATTGCCTATCAATCGACTATAAAATCAAAGAATTTGGATTTGATAATTTATGTAATTATATTACATAAAATATTAAAATTTATATATTTATATTATATTTTATATAAAAATTATGTATTTTAATTTATTTTGATATAAAAATATAAAATATATTTTTTATTTTATTAAATTTATATATAATTATTATAATTTTAAATTATATTATTTTTATATTTTATTTTAACATATCATATTTTAAATTATTAAATCTAAAAAAAAAACCCTGCAAAGAGGAATCTTATGTGTAGTAAGAATTTTATTACCCTGATGATTGGGAAATGTTAAACATGACGATCCCTATTTCCATTTTTGTTTTGATTTTCCCATTACCAAAGCTTGATTGGATGGCAATGGAAAGAATCGACGAGAATCTTTAGGGAGCAATTGTTGTCGTCGGTAAGGTAAAAAGCTAGTCGTCTTGACCTGTTTTTCTTCGTCTTTACCCCTTTACTGCATAAATTTGTATACCAATAGAATTTTTATTGATATAATATTACTGCATAAATATCCGTTAAACGGATCATAAAACAAATGAATATATAAAAATTTTTACTTACTAAAAGTGATAAGGTTTATATCAAATTAAATTTTATTTATTTTTTAAATAATACATAAAATTATTAATTTTTAAAATTTGATTTAAATCAAAATCAAATTTTATCTATTCGATTTGATTTATTAATTTTTAAATTTAAATTTATTATTTTTTATATAATATTTTAATATAATTTTAAATATATTTAAATAGATTTAAGCATAAATAATTATTTTATTTTGTAATAATTTAAATATATATAAAAATTAATAAAAATATATAATTCAATTCGATTATTTTTTTAATTTTAATTTTTTGATTTAAAATTTGATTTGAATGTAATATATATTTTTAATATCTAAATTTAATTTGAATAGAATAAAAAAATCTAAATTAAATTAAACATTATAATTTTGAATTAATTTATAATCTTTTTAATTTTTTTCACCTCTATGATTTATATATGTTACTGTTTGGAAAGCATTGTTTACGTGGGGTCATCATTCATCATTCATGAAGTAGTTGGACTAATTTAGACTTTTATCATTCATGAGTTTTGTTGTCTCTCGTTCAAATATTATCGTCTATATATTTGCCACCAAAGCTTTCATTTTTACCCATCACGACTCTTCACT